TCATTGTTGAATTGTGTTGGAAATTTGAAAGAATTTAGAGTTGCTAAATGCTGCTTATAGCCTTTCTAAGTTTGACTTTGTTCTGGGTATAATGTAGGTGTGATCCCCTGATTTCAGGAATGCAGTTGGTAGACTTGGTTGGTACTTGCTCTTGTTTGAAAGATCAGGGTAAATTAATTTTATGCCCGTTATAGATAGCTTCTAGGCCATCAGTTACCCGTGTTCTTCAAGTTTGAAAACGGTGGTGACTTGTGGTAGCTTACCTTTCTTCTTGTGATGATGTGAGATGATGAAATGTCTGTGTGATGAGATGAAATGAGGTGAATGACGTAGACATTGTGAAGTAGCATTAGGCTAGTACTGATCTTCTGAACATATATCTGAAGGAGGATCATCTTCCATACTGCAGTGGACTACAGGTAACTGGAACCACAGAAAGTGAAACCAAGGATATGGGAAGACTACTGTATTATTTTTCTAGTCTAAAACTACAGCATCTTCAGTGATTTGGTGTTATTTCTCATTTTTTATGTCTTAGGGTAATAGACCCCATGGCTCAAGATTCACTCATGAACTTTTACCAAAAGAAGGGTATAGGCCTACAACCGCTAATCATGCACATGCAATACTCTCTTCCCTCCTTGCCATTGTTGGGTCCTGCATGTAGTTTATTACTTATCAGGTTAAAAAACACATGCAGGAAATGCTGGGATCCTCTTGTATTTCTTAATATCCCGGGTTAGCAGCTAAAAGGTATCATTGAACACCTGCTTGGTTAGACATTTTGTATCCCTTCAGTTTCTAAATCTTGCTGCTGCTTCCTTGAAAGTTTACCTTTTTGTCTTTTTCTTTTTTAAAAATTTTTTATTGTTGTGTTAATCACCATACATTACATCATTAATTTTTTTGATGTAGTGTTCCATGATTCATTTTTTGTGCTTAACACCCAGTGCTCCACGCAGAATGTGCCCTCTTTAATACCCATCCCCAGGCTAACCCATCCCCCCACCCCCCTCCCCTCTAGAACCTTCAGTTTGTTTTTCAGAGTCCATAGTCTCATGGTTCGTCTCCCCTTCCGACTTACTCCCCTTCATTCTTCCCCTCCTGCTATCTTCTTTTTCTTTTTTCTTAATATATGTTGCATTATTTGTTTCAGAAGTACAGATCTGTAATTCAACAGTCTTGCACAATTCACAGCGCTCACCATAGCACATACCCTACCCAATGTCTATCACCCAGCCACCCCATCCCTCCCACCCCCCACCACTCCAGCAACCCTCAGTTTGTTTCCTGAGATTAAGAATTCCTCATATCAGTGAGGTCATATGATACATGTCTTTCTCTGATTGACTTATTTCGCTCAGCATAACACCCTCCAGTTCCATCCACGTTGTTGCAAATGGCAAGATCTCATTCCTTTTGATGGCTGCATAATATTCCATTGTGTATATACTTTTTGTCTTTTTCTGTTTCTGTGCAGTAACCATTTGGTTCTAATTATCCCTGGGTTTAGTCATTGTGTATTTTATGTAGTTTGCCATCCATTAGAACTATTAGGTTGGAAGTATGGTTAGTGACCTAAATGTTTATGGAGTTCTGAATTGTTACTAACAAATAGTTACCATAATAATGCTAACAACAATGATGATACTAGTAACACTTAATGAGTGCTTGCCATGTGCCAGACACTGTTCTAGGCACTTTACTTGTATTAACTTTAATCCTCACAATAACCTCATAAAGTGGGTGCTATTGTCCTTATTTTACATATGAGGAACAGAGAGGTTAAGGAATATACCCCAGACTTTACAGCTAGTAAGTGACACTATTGTGATTTGAACACAAACCTGAGGTCTGACTCTAGAACATTCAGTCTCATACTGTGCAGTCTCTCAAAGGGAGAAGAGAATAGGTGTTTCTGTTTCAGTTCATTTTTATCAGTGTACAGAGCTTCTACAAGGGACCTGATGTTTCTAAATTCCTGAGTTAGTCATTCAAGAGCTGCAAACGTTGATAGTTGTCCTTAAAATAATATGTACACATTATATACTCAAATGTTATACTACAGACTGATTGTAAACCTGAGGAAGACAAAGTGCAAGAAGGAGCCTATTTGAAAGAAATTACATCTTCAGATTTTCACCAGCTACACCAGAGCTGAAAGCTAATTGACTTCTGCTATGGTAGGCCTCCTGGAAAAGAAGTGGTTTTGTTTGTTTGTTTGTTGTTTTTTAAGATTTTCGTTGACTGGTGGGGTATGGAGCTGATTGAGCAAGTGAAAGCAGTGTGTGACCTGTGCCAGTACAAAGACAGACTTGCCACCTTCCCCATGCATCATGTTATTTTACAGGAATAAGTATAGACTTTGTCCAAAGTAACTATTTGTATGTACCTCAAAAAAGTTTGTGAAAATGCTTGATGCAGGGTGCCTGGGTAGCTCAGTCTGCTAAGCATCCAACTCTTGATTTCCACTCAGGTCATGATCTCAGGGTTGTGAGATTGAGCCCCACATCGGGCTTTGCTCAGCATGGAGTCTGCTTGAGATTCTCTCTCTCCCTCTCCCTTTCCCCCTCCCGCTTGCATGTGCTCTCAATCAATCAGTAAGAATCTTAAAGAAAAACACTATAATTTAAAAAAAAAAAAAGGATGCTTGATGCTTGCTTGGCTCTGAGTAGACCGTAAATTTCTTGAGAATCTGGAGAGGTGTGTGTATATATGCATTTGATTTCATCTTTTTGAGTACTATTTTTTTAAACAAACTTTTAATTTCAGAACAGTTTTAGATTTGCAGAAAAAATGAAGATAGTACAGCTCCCATATTCCCCACAGCCAATTTCCCCTACTGTTAACATTTTACATTAGTATGATATATTTGTCACAGTGAATGAGCCAGTATTGTTACGTTATAATTGCCTAAAGTCCATATTTATCCAGATTTCCTTAGTTTTCACTTAATGGCCTTTTTTCTGTTCCAGGATCCCATCCTGGAAGATATATTACATTTAGTCATGTTTCTTTAGACTCCTCTAGATTATGACAGTTTCTCAGATTTTCTTGTTTTTGACAACCTTGTGAGTTTAGAGGAATATTGGTCAAGTATTTTGTAGGATACCTTTCTATTGGGATTTGTCTGATGTTTACTTCATGATATAATTGGGATTATGGGTTTTGGGAAGGAAGCCCACAGAGGTAAAGTGCCATTTTCATTACATCATATTACGGGGGAGCATGCTGTCAACATGATTTATCATTGTTGCTATTGACCTTGATCATCTGGCTGAGGTAGTGTTGGTTAGGTTTTTCCACTGAAAAGTTACTTTTGTCCCCCTTCCCATATTGTACTCTTTGGAAGGAAATTACTATGTGCAGCCCACAGTTGAGTGAGGAGGTTTGCTTAGTCCCAGTTTTCTTGAGGGTGATGTTTTCTACATAAATTATTTGAGTTTTCTGCATGGGAGACTTGTTTCTTCTCCTTTGTTTAACCCTTCATATCACTATGGATTTGTGGATATTTATTTTATACTTATACTCTTGGATTACAGTCAAATACTATTTTGTTGCTCAAATTGTTGCAGCTTTGGCTGTTGGGAGCACCTTCATTTGGCTTCTATGTCCTTTTGACATACCCTCATTCTTGTTTTTTGTTTTGTTTCTGAACACATCCTTAATTTCTGGCACTACAAAATGTTGCAGGCTCATCTTGTATAACTTTCTGCCTCAATCCTAGGACCAACCATTTCTCCAAGAATCCCTGGTTCCTTTTATTGGAGAATGGTATTAAAAACTGAGATCGGGGTAGATAGTATTTTTTTTAAGACCTCTCTTCCTGGCTTTTTTTTTTTTTTTTTTTTAACACACTTGCGATTTCAGCAAGTGGGCAAAAGTAGTCCCAGTCTTCTTGGAACTTTAGTAAGTCTGGGAATTCTGTGAGCAGTAAGAAGGGAGGTGGGATTAGGAGAGAGATGATAGTGCTAAAGGGCAGAGAATCAGGGCACTGGAGCCTTTGTCTGGATCCTTCAGGTCCCACCTCTGCATCAGGTCAGGCACATCATTACAGAGGAGCGCTAAAAACACTCATTCGAGCTGCCTTTGTATCTTTAGCAAGGCCATAGTTGAATTTGGAGAGTCTACTATATTGGTCACAGTCCTTGTAAAAGGACCTTCCTGATATATTGTTCTTCATGTCTAGTTCCAGGAAAATTATCTCTGAAGGTAAATTTGTGAGCTTTCATCAGAAAACAAATGATGTATAACCAACTTGGTTCTCTTTGTAGTCTTTTAATGTTGGCTTCCAGAAAACTTAGAGTCAGATATATTGTGTGCATATCATTTGCTCAATTCAGGTTCTTTTTTTTTTTTTTTTTAAAGACATAGGTTTTATTTTTTTTTTTTTTTAAGATTTTATTTATTTATTCATGAGAGACACAGAGAGAGAGAGGCAGAGGGAGAAGCAGGCTCCCAAGGAGCAGGGAGCCCGATGCGGGACTCGATCCCAGGACTCTGGGATCATGACCCGAGCCGAAGGCAGACGCTTAACCATCTGAGCCACCCAGGCGCCCTCAATTCAGGTTCTTGATAGTACCTATTTGTTTCTTCCTCCAGGTGAACTCTATATTCTTTTAATCCTGATTGCTTTATTTACCTGGTTTGGGGCTAAGCTGCCTTTTTTTTTTTTTTTTTTTAAGATTTTATTTATTTGAGAGAGAGTGAAAGAGAGCACGAGCAGGGGAGAGAGGGGTAGAGGGAGAGAGGAAGATGCAGACTCCCCACTGAGCAGGGAGCCCAATGTAAAGACTCAATCCCAGGACCCTGGGATCATGACCTGAGCTGAAGGCAGAGCTTAACCGCCTAATCAACTGAGCCACTCAGGAGCCCTTGGCCTAAGCTTCTTAAAGATCCTTTTCAAGAAGGCAGGGTATTATCCTGACTGTTTAACAGAAGAAATGGGAGCAGGACCTACTCAAGAACCTGTTTTCTGGCTGCTGCCTAGAATGGTCAAGAGAATCCAATTCTAAATGAGTTTATTTTCCCAGTGACCTGCATTTTCACTTATTTGACAGTTTCAGTGTGAGTATTCACATATTCTTGACATCAGCTACTCTGCTTATACAGTTAACACTTTTTCCTTACTAAGTTGTGAACTTTGGTTTGCTTTTCAGAAGGTGTTATCTAGAACAAATCTGTATTACTTCTTATTCCTTGATGTCATATGAGCAAATTTTAATGGTTTTCATATTACCTTTGTTTAATTAAGAACTTTATAATAAATATCACAAGTGTTTATTGTTTAAAGAGAAATAAGTACTCTTTTAAGGACTTGCTGTTACAGGAGGTAAAAGTGGTGGTTATTCATCATAATACCAAAGTACTTTAGTAGAATTTAAGAAGAAAAAATTGAATCTCTCAATTCTTGAGAAACCAGATGATCTTTTAAGGTGATCTGTAATTAGAACATTTTTATTAGAGGAAATTTAAAACCATCATTTCAACCTTTTAGATTTTGCCAGCTCTGGCTAGTCATGAGCTTGGCTCAGTTTTCTACTTTTTAATTTTAGCTACCTGCTGATTTATGTAATTATGTTGGGGTTAGTGCATATGATTTTTTTTTTTAGATCAGTGGCTTGGGTCACACACACACAAAGATCAATGACTTACCTCCTAAATAGCTGCAAAGTTATGAACTACATGGGAAACCTACTGATTCTTAGAAAAATTCTAGGATCTCAGAATGCCCAGCAGTTCTTAGGAGCCTAAAATGAAAGTTAAGTTGTCATGTTGCCTGCCTGGATTTCCAGATATCTGGATAAACAACCCTCATATAGTGGTGTCAACTGAAGGTCATGGGGAATATAGAAATGTGAAGGCCCTTAGGGAATTGTGGCATTATCACACACTTTTGGGGAGTAAATTTCATGCTAATAAAAGGTGTTGGCAGTGATGGGTCCTTTGCCTTCAGCCTCTTGTAAAGCATTTGAGTCTTTGCCCTGGATGAATCTTTAATACATTTTCTTTCAGATGTCATCTTTCAGATGTTACTTCACCAAAGCAAGTGATTCTACCATAATTGTAGTTACTCAGTACAATGCAGCAAGGGATAATTTAAACAATTTTTACCCCTTCTGAGTACCAGAGTCTTTCAGAAAAACATGGCAGACTTCTGTATTATTTTGCAAAGTGTTCATTGGAGGATTTTGCTAATGCCTTAATAAGAGTTTTCTATGTTTAAAGATTTTTTAATTTTAATTTTATTTTATTTAAGATCTTATTTATTTATTTGACAGAGAGAGACAAAGTGAGAGAAGGAACACAAGCAGGGGGAGTGGGAGAGGGAGAAGCAGGCTTCCCGCTGAGCAGGGAGCCCAGTGCGGGGCTTGATCCCAGGGCCCTGGGATCATGACCTGAGCCGAAGGCAGACACTTAATGACAGGGCCACCCAGGCACCCCAAGATTTTTTAGTTTTTAAGTGATGTCTACACCTAATGTGAGGCTCAAACCCATAATCCTGAGATCAAGAGTCGCACACTCCACTGACTGAGTTAGCCAGGTGCCCCTTAATAAGACTTTTCTGACTTAAATCTAGGCTTTTGTTGTCATCTAGAGAGGCTCCTGTCCTTAAATTAGTAAATTTTGAAAAATTTTTATCTAGGGGCGCCTGGGTGGCTCAGTCTGCCTTCGGCTCAGGTCATGATCCTGGGGTCCTGGGATCGAGCCCTGCATTGGGCTCCCTGCTCGGCGGGGAAGCTGCTTCTCCCTCTCCCTCTGCCTGTGGCTCCCCCTGCTTGTGCTTGCTTGCTCTCTCTCTGTCTCTGTCAAATAAATATATAAAATATTTAAAAATTTTTTATCTATCTCTCTATGTATCTATTTGAGAGAGTGCAGGCACATGCAGGAGCATGGGGAGGGGCAGAGTGAGAGGGGGAGAGGGAGAGAATCCCAGGAAGACTTCCGGCTAAGTGTGGAGTCCATCGCAGGGCTTGATCCCACAGCCCTGAGACCAAGACCTGAGCTGAAACCGAGAGTCATATGCTCAACCCGCTGAGCCACCCAGGTGCCCCAGGTGGTTTTTCCCAGGTCCTTGCCTGACTGTGGAGATGATGACATCTTTGATGACTCTTCAGTGCTGTATTCTTGATACCATTCCCTGCTGTCCTCTACTGGTTTCATTTACAGTAAACATTTCTAATAACCTGTAATCCTTTCCTTCTGCCTTATGGATTAAATTAGGGGCACCTGGCTGGCTCAGACGATAGAGCATATGTGACTCTTGATCTTGGGGTTGTAAGTTCAAGCCCCACCTTGGGTGTAGTGAATACTTAAAATCTTTTTAGGGGCAGGGAAAAAAATAAAAATAAAAAATAAAATCTTTTTTTTTTTTTTTTAAAGAATTAAACTAGTGTGAGCAAATCTGGAAGCTTATTTTTATCCAAATATGCCTTGGAGAAGTTCTACATTTTCTGCAACTTTATTCATAGGAGCTAAATCAAAGTTAGAGTTCTTAGGTCAGCTTGGAATGTGAAAGTATGTTATTCCTGCAGTCTACCTTTCTGAACTTCCTCCTTGCTCTTAAGAATTGTTGTTGTGTTTTTGGGGGCTAGGGAGTGGGGATGTGTGAGTATCTGATTGGTGAACAGATTCTGAATAAAGGAAGAGTGACACCATACTGGTGACTACATATTACTTTGAAATTTGATTAGTTCCCAGACTTTTTGCCCTATAATATGTGTGTGTTCAGGGTTCTAAAGAAGTCTGTTCTTAAGCCTTTTCTTTTAATTCAGAAGAAGTTTCACATGAACAAGAGCCTTTAGGAATCTTTAGGGCTAAATATTCCTTCCCCCTTGCAGATTATTTAGTTATTGCTGACTTCAGGGCCTCTCCCTTGTGAGTGCTTGCTAACCCCTCCACGGTGGAGAATGGTAGCCTGAACAATGCAGTGTCCCACTTGAGAGGACTCTTTAGGCGCTCTTACTTGCACTGACCCAAAGAATCCATCACATTCTGCTAGTCTTTCTTGGCTTCTGTGCAACCCATTCTTTCAGACATTCCTTTTGTGGGGAGGCAACATGGAATGTCGGAAGAACATGGATTTTAGACTACTTCAAATCCACACAATTTATTAACTCTGTGATGATGGGCAAAATACTAAGTTTTCTCATCAGTAAAATGGGGATAATAAGACAGGCCTCTCTGGAATTGTTGTGAAGATTAAATAAATATTATATGTAAAGTTACTAGCATAATTCCTTAATCCCTTTATCCTTCCAAACCACTCAGTTGCAGAACCTCAAGCCTAAATCACTTAATACTTTTTTCTGTGTTCCCGCATCTTGGCTGCTGAGTGTTGCCACTAGAAATCTGTAGTCTATAATCTCAGCTGAGACCTCGGTGCTACCAAGCAATACTTTTATGGGATTTTTTTTTAAGATTTTATTTATTTATTTGAGAGAGAGTGTGTACAAGCAGAGCGGGGAGGAGTAGAGGGAGAGGGAGAAGCAGGCTCCCCACTGAGTAGGGAGCCTGACACGGGGTTCGATCCCAGGACCCTTGTATCATGACCTGATATGACCTGAGCCGAAGGCAGATGGGAACTGACTGAGCCACCCAGGCAACCCCTTTTATGTGATTTTGGTCAGCTTTCTTCTTAATGCAGAGGTCAGAAGTTGGTGGCCCCAAAGAACTTGGTTCTATAGACCTCTTTTGTTTGGCCTTGAGATAGTTTTTCGTATGTTGGGTTTGGCTGTGAGGATTTAAAATTTAGGAGATTTCATTTTTTTTTTAAAGATTTTTTTATTTATTCATTTGAGAGAGAAAGCGAGAGAGCATGAGCAGGGGGGAGGGTTGGAGAGGGAGAAGCAGACTCGCCACTGAGTGTGGAGCCCGACGTGGGACTCGATCCCAGGACCCTGAAATCACGACCTGAGCCGAAGGCAGACACTTAACTGACTAAGCCACCCAGGTGCCCTTAAACTTAGGAGATTTCAAATAAAACTTAAAATGTCTAGCTTCTTTTGAAAAATTGGATGCTCTGAAAACCCAGCGTGACATGGCACTCATTGGTTTCTCTCTTGAGGCAGGCACATCTTTTCACTTTGCCAAATTGTCCACAACCTTGTGAACCTACACTGGCCCATTAGATTTAGTTACATTGCTCACTTGATCCTTGCGGGCATTTACTTTTTGGTTTTGTCCTATGGGCTCCCCCTCCTTAAATTCCCTCAAATTTGTCCCCTTCTCCTCATACTCAAAGTCCTCATCATTACTAACCTGGAGTACTGGAATAGTGTCCTAATCCATCTTCTTATCACTAGTATTGTCCCTCTCGAGGGACTTGTCTTCACAGTATTATCAGATTGATCTTTCTAAATTGCTAACTGAATCACATCACTCTCTTGTTTCAAATTCTTCATTGCCTTTCCACTTTGTGCCAAATGAAGTTTAAACTCCCTAGCATGGTTTGCATTTCTACATGATCTGGCCAGTACCTCTCTAGCCAGTTAACCTGTGTTTCAGTTTCCTGCTATGGAACATAAGAGAAATAATAGTTCTTACCTATAGCGTTATAATAAAGACTAAATTTTAAAATGCATATAAAGCACTTGGCATAGTACTCAACCTTTAGTAAGTGCTCAATAAATATTAATAGTATTATGGTACTACTATATTTTTGTTTTGTTTTTTTCTGGACCCTAGGTGTTCATATTTGCCTTTTCTTCTGCCCTGAATGTTTTTATACCCCTATTTTTCCCTTAATTGCAGCTCATCCTTTAGGACTCACGTGTCACCTCCACGATACACTCCCCGAACCTCCATATCCCATGGCACCTGTGCTTTCCTCTAGTACTGCACTTTTAACATTACAGTGAGATCTCATTTCTTATTCGTCTCATTTAGACTTTTAAGCTCTTCGAAGACAGGAACTATTTTACATATCCCTGTATCCCCAGTGACTAGCACAGATCTAAGCATTGACAAATTAATGAAGGATCGACATCATTCATGGCAGAATATACTTGATTAATATTACTACTGTTACTTTTAGGGAATTTAGAAGATGTGCCATAAAACGTTTTTTAATTACCCCTTATTTCAAATTAGTCTAGCAGTGAAAACTATTCTTTAGTTACTATATTTTTCCTCAAAATGAAATACCTTTATTTCTGACCATAAGTGATACATGCCTTTGTAGAAAATCGAAAGAAAAATAAAAGTATAAAGAAGTCTTACTACTCAGGAAAAAACTAGTTTTATTAAAGTGCTTTAAATGCATAGACTTGTGTGCTGCTCAGTTTCCGTATTTAAAATTGCACCTATAAATGAATCTTGTTTGACAGAGCATGAGAACATCTAGTTTAATATAAGGAAGCTACTAGTTTTGTGTTCCACATTGCAAGTAGCTTCCTGTCTTAAATAATGAAATGTGCCTTCTGCTAGGACAACCATGAACCCTAGAAAAGAAGTTGCAATCCAGTGTGTCATATTACTGTGTCATTCCCTTGTTTTAAATATGACCATTCACTTACCAGTGTATGCCACTTCATCTGTGCTTACAGGCCGTTCTCTACAAATGGAGCAGTTTCAGTTTGGAGAACTAAAGCTAACAACCTAGAAGAAAGAAATTATCACTGGTGGAAGCCAAGGATGTCTTTTTTAGAACAAATTTCTTGCTCATTCCCCATGCCTCCTCTGCCACCCCATTTGACCATTGACATAATTGATGTGAAATTTGCAGGAATAGATCTTCCAGATTTTCTTCTCCACGCATGTCCTTTTTCCTTCTCTTTTTGCATCAGGTGTCCCATTTCCATTCTCTGCCCCTACCTCCACCCCGTCAAGATTTGTTTTACAGAAGAGATGTGTTCTTATGTGTCTTTCTCCTTTTTGTAGTACATTCTTCTGGTAATTGTCCACTTCATTTTTGTGACCTCTCCCTTTCTAGGTAATGATACTGGTGTACATTTTATATAGCAAACTTTTGCTAATAAGCCCAGTTTGTATCAACTGTATTGCCTTTTTGGTATGGTAAGACATTCCATAGCAGCGACATATTCTATTTGTTTATTTATTTATTTTTAGAGATTTTATTTATTTGACAGAGAGAGACACAGCAAGAGAGGGAACACAAGCAGGGGGAGTGGGGGAGGGGAGAAGCAGGCTTCTGCTGAGCAGGGAGCCCAATGCGGGGGCTCGATCCCAGGGCCCTGGGACCATAACCTGAGCTGAAGGCAGACGCTTGACTGAGCCACCCAGGTGCCCCAGCAGTGACATATTTTAGCCTTTAGTGTGGATACTGTTTGAATGAATGAAATTTGCTGTATTTGAGTTTCATCTTCTAATCCAATTCCTGTCTTTAAGAATGGACTGAACATAGTCATCATAATGAGAAATATCAACTGTCTTCTATAGACAGTGTTTCTTTCCATTCTCCAGTTTCTCTAAGTTCTCTTCCCTAGTGTTATTTGCTTCCTGTTCTTACTTACTTTTTATTTTAGATCACAGATTCTGCTGGTCATATTCTGTACTCCAAGGAAGATGCAACCAAGGGGAAATTTGCCTTTACCACTGAAGATTATGACATGTTTGAAGTGTGTTTTGAGAGCAAGGGTAAGTAATCGGAGTGTTTCCCCTGAATTAAGTGTCTCCTCTCAAGTTAGAGCTTGAACTTTCTCTCTTGGGCTATTAGGAAGAGGAAATGGTAACTACATTGTTTATATGTCTTTCACACATATAAGTGAAAGTTGGCTAATCAGCTGAGTTCTTCATGTACAGGAGTAGGCATTTCTTAAATGCTGTGACCTATTTGGCTTGAATGATAGAGTTGAATTTCATATAGATGCTGGAAAATAGTGCATTTATATATATGCTAGTGACACGTTTTCTCGGGACTTAGAAATAAGGTCTGTCTGACAAACAACATATGGCAAAGTTAGAAATATTTTTGGTCTCCAGAGCACTTTCCTAGTTCTGTCTTGCTGTGGATTCTTCTGTGCATCTCAAGGTCAAGACCCCATAGTACCCTTTAGTCTGATTACTTGATGGTTTCTGTGCTCAGTAATGGGAGAAACGGCAGTTTCCTTTTTACTCCCTATTCATTAGTTTAAAGGACACTAGACTCTAAAAGCTTAATGCATTTATACTTGTTACATTATTTGGGACTCTTTTGGACTGCAGGACATAAAAACTCAAACTGCCTTAAAGAAAAAGAAGGGATAGATCATTTGACTCTCTGAACTGGGAAGTTTGCAACATGGCTCTGACCTCAGGCATAGCTGCATCTTGGGGTTTTTATGGTATCATTGGAACTCTATCTCTCTCAGTGTTTCTATTCCTTGCCTCCATTTCATTTTAGTCTCCGGCTTCCTCTGTGTAGAAGCAAAAGGACTCCTGGCAGTTTTAAGTTTGTAGAATGTTCAAAATATAGGATCCTAGAAGAAGAGCAAGCACCTTTGCCAACAATACCAGTAGATGCCCAGGAATGGCAGACGAACCAGCTGCTTTTGATAGTTAATCAAGAATTGACTCCCTTGATCTAAAGTTGGTCATTTCAGCCTAAAAGCTAAGGGAGTTTGCCAGAAGTAAATGGACTAATAGATTAAAAATAAAAAATTAAAGGATTTTAATGGTGATTTCATGGCCATGATATTTCAAGATATCCTTCTCTCTGCTCCCACCAGTGCCAGTTCCAGTTCCAGGATGTCTCAACTATATTCTAGACATTTCCACATGGTTGTGCCACTCTTACTTCAAAACCAAGATGTCTAAGACTGTGTTCACAAGCCTCCCTTTCAGACTAATTCCCCTCTCTTATCAGTGTTACCACTATCCTTCCAGTTACTTGGGCTCACATTTTGAAATTATTTTTGCCTTTTTCAGCCTATCATCAAATTATACTGATACTTCTTTCAAAATATCTTCTGTATCTGTCACCACACAAATCTGAACTCTAATCTTTTATTTTTTTTAAAGATTTTATTTATTTATTTGACAGAGAGAGACAGTGAGAGAGGAAACACAAGCAGGGGGGGTGGGGGAGGGAGAAGCAGGCTTCCCACGGAGCAGGGAGCCCGACGTGGGGCTCGATCCCAGGACCCTGGGATCATGACCTGAGCCGAAGGCAGGCGCTTAACGACCGAGCCACCCAGGCGGTCGTTACTGTCTTTACTGTCTTTTAAACATGCTGTACTCATTTCAATATTTGAGCCTTTGCCTGTGCTGTGCCCTTTGCCTAGAGTACTTTGTCCTTGCCTTCAGGTGCTCTCTCTTTAGTGAAGTCTGTCCACAAGTTAACCCTTCCCTTCGGTAACCTTTACTCCATAGCTGGGATTATTTGAACTGGTTTTTTTCTCTTAAAGTTTTTACTGCTTTGTATTTTCATCGTAGCTGTTATGAATGTTTGTCTTAGTTCCCCGCTGAATTATTTGAAGGCAGAGATTGTAATTCAGTCACCTAGTGAGTTCTCACTGAGTAGTTACTGAATTGACTTCAGTCCATTTCAGAAACCTCCAGTGTTCAGGCAGCAGGGAGTGTAATACCATTCTCTCTGGCTTGTACTTTGAAGAACTCCAATGCTTAAGTGGCACTGTTTGCCTAAACTCCTAATTCCATGCATGCAGTTATTTATTTATTTATTTATTTATTTATTTATTTATTTGTCAGGGAGAGCAGAAGCAGGGGGAGCGGCAGGCAGAGGGAGAAGCAGCAAGCTCCCCACTGAGCAAGGAGCCTGATGTGGGACTTGATCCCAGGACCCTGAGATCATGACCTGAGCCAAAGGCAGACACTTAACCGACTGAGCCACTCAGGCGTCCCCCATGCAGGCAGTTTTTTATTTCATAAATAATTAGGTAAATTGGGGCTGAGCAATTTTCTGGGACTGTTGAGTCTTTCTCTCTCTCCTACTTGATTTAACGTTACATTCTTTTTTGATCAAGCTGAATCAGTTACCTTTTCTGATACAAGCCTAGCTCTGTTGGCCCTACTGTCCCAAATAGGCATTTCTCTTTCTGAGTAGCACCCCTGAAAACTGTACCCTTCTTTAGAGGTGTTTTCTTTCTTTTCTTTTAAGTGTTTTGTGGGTCCTATAACATTTTATTAACCTACTGAAATGGCCTTACATTGACCAAAATGTTTGAATTAAAGTGGAATATTAGCTAAATCCTGTGTTGTTTTCAGTACTCATGTTTATATTACGTAAATCCAAGCTTATCGTATACCCAATAATCCTTTTTTTTTTCCAAAATTTGACAGGGCACCCTTTTCAGATGTGGAAATGTACCTTTTTAATCTTAGTTGGTGCCCACTACCGATTGGTCTATATGCCACTCAGTTTTATACTGTTTTGACTTGAGTGTTATTTCCTAATCCAGTAAGCCTGTATGTTGTCTCTTCTGCTGTTCTGTCCCTCTGTAGTACCAGCTGCAGTGTTTTGTGTCCTGCCTGCTCAGAGATGTTTGCCAGCAGCATGTTCTCATTGCTTTCCGGCATCCCACACAGATAGAGGCTTTGTCTGGAATGCTTGTGATTTTAGCCAGAGCCAGGAATTTTCTGCAGCTGAGTAGGGGGAGGAGTTGTGGCTATTTCCCTCTATTGAGAGGGTAGGGGTTAGGGAGAGGGTGGGTGGGTGATTTCCCGGAATTTTAAATATTCTACACAATGAATCTTTTGATTTCTTTCTCAGGAACAGGGCGGATACCTGATCAACTCGTGATTCTAGACATGAAGCATGGAGTGGAGGCGAAAAATTACGAAGAGGTATGTCCTGCTGTAACAGCCGGTAGTGTGCTGTGCTAGGAGGTTTCTATGACCTAGTCAGGCCAACTGGCTGTGCTTTGCCCAGAAGGCTTTTTTCTCAGCAGTCATGTGACAAGCAGCTACAATCTTATTGATACAAAAAGTTGTGTTAACAGTCTTGAACAATAATTCTGGCTGTGCCTTCGGCCAAATGACTGAACCAGCTATCCCCTAGACATGTTAGTGTGTATGATGGCTCAGTTGGTTAAGCGTCTGCCTTCGACTCAGGTCATGATCTCAGGGTCCTGGGATCGAGCCCCATGTTGGGCTCCCTGCTCAGTGGGGAGTCTGCTTCTCCCTCTCCCTCTCCTCCTCCCCCTGCTTATATGTGTACTTTCTCTTTCGCTCTTTCAAATAAATAAGATCTTACAAAAAAAAAAACCCAAAACCACAAGAACTATTCAAGACTGGAGGATTGATCTTTACAGAAAGGTAAGAGTATTCTTACCCAGATCAGAGGCTTTTTACAACAGTACCTGAAGGTATGAAGAAGAGGTGGGGGACAGGAAATGTAAATGGTTTTTAAAGAATGTAAACAAAATAAAGGAAAGGTGATTTAAGTGATTTAAGAGAATTTTCTAGGACTGATGGACCCACAGAAAGTTGCTCCATCTTTGGTCAGGACCTGGGAAGGAAATGTCCTAAAATGGAAGAAGAGTGGAAGTGACCAGCTAATTCTGCAACAGGAAGTAGTCGTACAACAATTGCAGCTCTTTAAGTCTTTCCTCTGTTTCTTAGTTCAGATATCCAGTAGAATAACACCAGACTGAGTTATTTGTAGGTGATCAACAAGAGCGAGGGATATGGTAGAGGTAGTGAATGGAAGACAGTTCCTGGTAGAGACTTTGAATTGTTTGTTTCTGTGTCTAAGCTGGTTTTTTTTTTTTTTTAAAGATTTTATTTATTTATTTGACAGAGAAAGAGCGAGAGAGTTCACAAGCAGGGGGAGAGGCAGAGGAAGAGGGAGAAGCAGGCTCCCAGCCGAGCAGGGAGCCCGATGCGGGGCTCGATCCCAGGACCCTGGGATCATGACCCGAGCCAAAGGCAGCCGCTTAACTGACTGAGCCACCCAGGCACCCCTAAGCTGGTTTTTTAAAAGAGAGCAAGAGAGTCTCTTTACTTGATGAACTGAAGAGTAAATTGAAATAATCCTTTTAAACTTTGATGGTTGAGAAGAATCTTAATTGTATTTAAATAAGGTAATGTATGTTAAAATGCTATTTTAAGGTAGAAAAGAGAAAAATGTTGCAGTTATTCTGAGGTAGAAAAATAGGTAAGGTGATTTTCAGTTTTCGATAACTGCTGCAGTATCCTCAACTTGAGACCACTCTCTAAGCCAGCATGCATTGTTAAAATAGAAATTTTACCTGTTGTAACTCTTTCCTCCTGCTATGATGGCTGCCATTTATTACGTAATAAGGCATTTGATTAGACATTAGACATCATTTTTCACTCTAAAACAGAGGGCATTATTGTGAGTTTATACAGAAAATGATGTGGACATCTCTGTCACAGAGCATGTTAGAACTATTCCTCCTGGAATTTCTACCATCCTTGGACTTTGTTGACATTGGGGAAGGGCCTTTATCTTTCCTGACCTTTCGCTTAACCTACGAGGGGAATCCCTAGCAGAAAGGAAACCACAGCACTTCCTTTGCCTGCTTCCTGCTTTGGAAGTCTGGCACGTCCTAAGCATGTCGTTACGCACATGGTTACAACACAGCTCCAAATTCTGTTTCTTAACCAAGGAACTCCTGCTACTACTCTCTTTGGCGATCTTACCACCAACCCTACCACCCCCTCCCCCAAAAAGGCAGAGCAAACTGAGACAGAGGAGAAGTGGTTTCAACACAGGCCAAAGGCAGCCCTTTCCTCAGTCAATGGCTAGGCTCCCTTGAATCTTGCTTAGAAATAGCTGTTATTTGTCTCTCAGCAAATGCCTGTGACAAGAACGTAAATAATAGAAGCACTTGTTTTCTGGTTAATTACCAGAGAGCACTGAGCGTATGTAGAGGTTTTGAGGCATTTAATTTCAGGTCTTTGAGGTAATAGAGAGCTTTTATCTCCAGAGGATTTGGGCCTCTTGGCATAAGCATTTGGCTTTGAGGAGGTGGCACATTTTCTTCAAGTTTTTCACATCCAGAGTATCTCCCTCACAGTTGTGGGCTTCATGATTCTGAAATCCCTTGTGGTCTTGTAAAATTGAATAGTAGTCAGTGTTTCAGTAGCTGGGCAGAGTACTACAATGCCTACTAAATTGTTAGAGAGGATTTACTTCATTAGTGCATGTGGAATTGCTATGTAAACAATACAAATGTAAGATGATATTTAGAAGCTAGAATGGTTGTCCTGTTGTAAAGAAGCATAGAGTCTTGTAGTTTGAATGCTTTAAAGAGTTCGGAATGCTTATGTCCTCAGAAATAAAGCACTTTTGATTCCCTCTGTTGAATTTTAAGGACCTTTCACCACTGTCTTTTGCCCGTGGTGGGAGGGCGGGGCATCTTTTTTGTGGTCTGTGGTACTAGAGCAGCTGCTTGTGTGGATTGTCTGATCCTGCAGTTGTGGAAATGAAGGCAGTAACTGTCCCACGAAGAAGGAGCTATCTGACACATCCTCAAACTTGGGCTGTATATGTCCCTTCTTGATATGGATGTTAGCATTTTCAGTACAACAAAAATCCTGTTGTGCCTGTGGGTTCTATTAGTATGTCATTTGCTATCAACATGTATACCAGAAACACAGTTGCCCTTGTTGGAACAACAGCTTAAGACTTTCCAAAAGTTCTACTTTTTTGAATGCCCTCAGGAAGGAGGAACTCTGGTTCTGCATACTAGATCCAAAATCCTTTCTCGACATGAGTTAAATGAAATAACGGGCAAGGCACCTGACACATAGTTTGGTTAGTTCAGTAGATTTTGGCTTCCTTCTCCTACCCTTCCTGGAAACTGACTATAACAGAGTAAATAGAATCATGCTAAATTTCATATAGCCCCTAAGATTGGCAGTATTATTTGGCCTTATTTTGGTACATTCTTGACCTTTTGAGCTTCTATGAAGAGGCTTGTGATTCACATACCTCCCCACACACGTAAACTTGTCCTTGGCTGTAGGTCTGCCTTCTTTATCTTGATTGTGTAGACTAGATGATCTCCACTGTTACTGCTGTGCTTCTAAAATTTGGGGGGCTATGGGGGGGAGTGTGGAGGTAACAGCAATTTGGCTTTACCACAAGAAGCTTCTCTTAAGTCTCAGTGCTCTACCAAGGAAAACAGTCTAACGATTCTCTAGAGGTCAGTTTCACAGTATGTTTTAAGAAGCAGTTTTTCAGAGTTAAAACCTTTCCTAGATGCAGTTACATATGACTTGAATTCTAGGTTTAAATCATCACTGGGGAGGGTGGAAGATTTGGATATGGCTTAAGAAGGGTAATTTCACAGTTTTTTTGAGGTGTCGTACATGTGCAGGGAAAGGCTTTCTGACTTGTAGCTTTTCCAAGCAGTCCCTCCCACCACAGATGAGAGTGACAGTGTGGTAGGGAAGACTTTCTCCTGGGCAGTGGGTGAAAGTAGGTACAGAGTGCTCTAAGGAAGCCTTGCTTCAGGGGACCAACAACACTTACTATCTCATATGAGAAAGTTGGCTCCTCTGAAGAAGGCATTGAATGGGCATGCTACACGAAGTTTACATTGTATTAATTTCTTTGAGTTCAAGGGCCAAACTAGTGTGGGGAAAAAGGATAAAAATCAAAACAATGTGAATATGACAATGTATGATTGTTAATTATGTGGCACAGTCTAAGTGCTGTAGGACTTTAGGAAGGAGGGAGTCGGTGTGGACAGAAGTTGTTAAAGAAAGCTTCATGGTTAAGGCTTGAAAGATAGGGGTTGGGTACACTGAGTGGATATGCTTTTGGCAGTCAGAGGTACGGTTTTGCTTGCATTTTACAGCGGCAGAGCTTTGCAGTTCTGATGCTGAATAAATGCTTTGGTGACCTTGGGTAGGGATTCAAGAGACCATGGTTCTGATAGTCCTGGTCTTCCACCCAAAGGACTTGATTAACTATGGAATCATCAGTTTCATTTGTAAAATGCAGTCCCTTGTAGCTCTAAGAGTCTTGAGTGAATGGCTAAAATGCAGCTTACAGGGGGAATGCTACCCTCTAGTGGAGAACCTATGGTACATAACATTGTCAAGTAGGCTTTGCTTTTATCAAGCTGTTGGCAAAATACGTGTCATCCTTCCAGCCTGAGAAGAGAGAAGTAGACTGGAATAATGGCCTGATTTTTTTTTTTTAAGATTTTGTTTATTTATTTGACAGAGAGAGACACAGGGAGAGAGAGAACACAAGCAGGGGGAGTAGGAGAGGGAGAAGCAGGCTTCCTGTGGAGCAGGCAGCCCAATGCGGGGCTCGATCCCAGGACCCTGGGATCATGACCTGAGCTGAAAGCAGATGCCTAACAACTGAACCACCCAGGCGCCCCTAATTTCACATTCGTACAGACATTGTGAACATTAAATCAGATGTTCAGAAGAGCAGAACAACAGTCATTGGGGATTTTGATACAGTTGTTCTTGTTACCTTTTTGTACTGACTATGATAAAAGTCTTGGTAATAAACTCATTGAATACTTAGTCCTGCGCAAGCAAAGAGGGTCTTCATGAGAATAGTGATGATAATTTGCTTAAAATTTTTACTCTGTTAGTCTGTAAAAATTAGAATAAGAGCAGTATGAAACCAGGGAAGTTTGACTAATAAACTGGACAACTTACCCAGATCCTTGTGGCCTAATATAGCTTGATAATTTCACCTTTGATCCAGAAAAAAAAAGCGTAGTCTATTAGTTTCCTTCATCAACGTTTTAGTACCTTCAGAATAAAATATAAACTCAGACTTGGATTCCAATCTCCACTCCACCAAGCTCTGAGAACTTGGGCAAGTTATTTAATACTTTGAATCTTAATTTCCTGATCTGAAAAATTTAGGGATAATAATATTCACCTTATATAGGGTTATGAGGATTAAGTAAGATTATAAGGTATAAAATACATACACATTATGGATACATACACATATATGGATATATGGATCCCAGGGTTCTGGGATTGAGCCCCGACTGAGGCTCCCTGCTCAGCGAGAAGCCTACTTCTCCCTCTGTGGCTCCCCCTGCTTGTGCTTGCTCTCTGTCTTTCTCTCAGTCAAATAAAATCTTAAAAAATATATTTTCAGCTGGCAGGGGCATGGCCATAGTTTCACTTCCAGGTTTTTTTGCAAGTTGCTACTTAGAGAGCCTTAAATCATTTATCGCTAAAGAAGTTTCATGCCATTGCTTTTATACTATCTCATTCAGGAAGCTTTGGAGATGAAAGTATAAACCAGGAGGGAAAATGTTAAACAGACTAAATTTGAGCTTATTATATATGTCTTGTTGTGATATCTTTTCCCTGGGGAATTTCTTTGCTCTGTGGCTCTATACGAAATCAATCAACAGGTATATATTCTAGATTAATGACAAAATTTGGTATTTGGGCATTAAGCTAGGAGAGTTAGCTAAATGCATTAACTAACCATTAATTAAATGTTACAGTCAGTTAGCTTCATTCTGTTTGTAGCTGTCAGTCATGCCATTAACTCCAGCCAACATTTTACAAATGTAAGAAAATATACATCCGGGGCGCCTGGGTGGCTCCATTGGTTAAGCGACTGCCTTCAGCTCAGGTGATGATTCTGGAGTCCCGGGATCGAGTCCCGCATCAGGCTTCCTGCTCAGCGGGGAGTCTGCTTCTCCCTCTGACCCTCCCCCCTCTCATGTGCTCTCTCTCTCTCTCTCATTCTCTCTCTCTTTCAAATAAATAAATCTTTAAAAAAAAAAGGAAAATATACATCCAGTGAAAGAAAACATTGCAAATTCATCACATTTTATGAACCTTATTTAAATATAAACTTACTTTTTATATCCCCATCCTAACAGCAATTTCTAGTTTTATTTTAAGTAACTTTTATTTTTTTATTTATTTTTTTAAAGATTTTATTTATTCATTTGAGAGAGAGAGGCAGAGCACAAGCAGGGGGAGAGGCAGAGGGAGAGGGAGAAGCAGACTCCCCGCTAAGCTGGCAGCCCGACGTGGGGCTCCATCCCAGGACCTGGAGATCACGACCTGAGTCGAAGGCAGATGCTTAACCATCTGAGCCACCCAGGTGCCCCGAATAACTTTTATTTTAAATAATTTCATGTGTTCAGTGAGGAATATAGATGAGCAAAGAGAACATAAGAACACTCTTAAACTCTTCCTATTCATCCCACGTTAACTGTTGTTAACATTAGCTGGAAAAGAACAAAGAAGGTGAATTGGACAAAAGAGAAGAAAAAGTAGGGCGTTCTATAGAGAACATTCAATAAATAGAGAGTAAAGAGGCAGATATAGAAAAAGAATTTTTTTTAAAGATTTTATTTATTTGAGATAGAGAGCACGAGCAGGGGGGCAGAGGGAAAGGGAGAAGCAGGCTCCCCACTGAGCAGAGAGCCCGATGCGGGGCTCCAGGATCATGACCGGAGCCGAAGGCAGATGTGTAACCGACTGAGCCAGCAGGCACTCCTTAGAAAAAGAATTTTTGATGAATTCTTAAGGAAAAATTTAATAGCAACTGGTATATGAGTTCTAAGATCTAGAAAACTCTGGTGGTTTATCCTCGTTTTAAAAGTACATCATAATATAAGATTGATAGGAAAAAACAGAAATAGAACAATGAAATCTTTGCTTTTGTCATATCTGCCTTTAGGTACTAGACACTCTTGGAGGTTTCACAGTGGTCTGGGTTGAGAAAGGAAAACAGTTCATTTCTTTCTCACATCCTTCATTCCTTAGCATACAAGGAAGTCCTCGAAGAGTTCTTTTGGTAATTGGCTATGTAATTCTAAACACAAAAAATGCAGTGGTTTGTTTTGGTTTGGTTTTAGCAAAGCTAGGCTTCATCTGGGCTCTTGATATAAACCCTAAAGCTGTTGTGGGATTTAAAGGAGCAAAGCAGAACTCTCTAATTTTATAGTTTGAGTTATTATCTTAATGTTACAGTCATATATACTCCCTCATTCCTGTGCATTGTGTATTGGGAATTTAGAGGGTTTTCTTTTAAAATCACGTCTGACTATGACTGTAACACTTATTATGCTGATAATATTGTTTCTTTCTTGGATGTGACTAGAAGGGCAAAGTAAAGTGCTTTATTAAAATCAGAAATCTAGGGGCGCTTGGGTGGCTCAGTCATTAAGCGTCTGCCTTCGGCTCGGGCCATGATCCTGGGGTCCTGGGATCAAGTCCCACATCGGGCTCCCTGCTCCACTGGAGGCCTGCTTCTCCCTCTCCCACTTCCCCTGCTTGTGTTCCTGCTCTCGCTGTGTCTCTTTCTCTGTCAAATAAATAAAATCAGAAATCTTAGGAAAATAACATATTTTACTTTATAGTCTACCATATTACAGTACTTCAAGGAGGTTTTTTTTTTTTATTTATTTATTTTTAATTCCAAGGAGGTTTTAATCAAAATTAAAGTATCAAAAAATTCTGAGATGCAAACACACGAACAGTTTGTGGGGGAAGGGCCGAAGCCCAGATTTTAGAATATGTTAGAGTGATAATAGAAGAGGTTTTAAGTTTGGTAAAACTTTTTTTTTTTTTTTAAGATTTTATTTTTAGGCAATCTCTACGCCCAACGTGGGGCCCAGACCTGCAACCCTGAGATAAAGAGTCACATGCTCTAGGGCGCCTGGGTGGCTCAGATGGTTAAGCGTCTGCCTTCGGCTCAGGTCATGATCCCAGGGTCCTGGGATCGAGTCCTGCATCGGGCTCCCTGCTCCTTGGGAGCCTGCTTCTCCCTCTGCTTCTCTCCCTCTCTCTCTGTCTGTCTGTCTGTCTCTGTCATGAATAAATAAATAAAATCTTAAAAAAAAAAAAAGTTTAAAATAAAAAAAAAAAAGAGTCACATGCTCTATCAACTGAGCCAGTCAGGTGCTCTGGGTTTGGTGAAACTTTTAAAAGACTCATCTGTTGCCTTGTGTTCTAGACCAGAGCAGTTATTTTCAAGGAGTAGGTTCATAATTCCTTTCTTTTCCAGATTGCCAAGGTTGAGAAGCTCAAACCTTTAGAAGTGGAGCTCCGACGCTTAGAAGACCTTTCAGAATCCATCGTTAATGATTTTGCCTACATGAAGAAGCGAGAGGAGGAGATGCGAGATACCAATGGTGAGGGGAAGGCAGCGCTTGTTTCTTCATAAAGGAGACGGAGCTCTTGTCTCAGTTTTGCCAAAAGGGGTTAGTGGAATGGGATGATGGGATGATCACTTACTTCAGTGTTGTTTCTCTGGGTAAATGAGCTTTGTTGGATATTCAAGGGAATAGAAATTTCTGTGATAGGCAGTTGACTATATTCTCAGCTTATTGTGTATCAAACTGATAGTACTAATCTTTGTAATTTTTAACATTTATATATAGAACAGTGAACTTTTAAGAAAAAACAATCCAAAATCCTACTGTCAGGCCTAGGGACTGACAGAAGTTTATTAATTGCCTTTTCCCCCTGGCCACTGTATAGCCTGCTGAGCCTCATTTCATTGCCTTATAACACTTTTGTTTTTTAGAGTCAACAAACACTCGGGTCCTGTACTTCAGCATCTTTTCAATGTTCTGCCTCATTGGACTAGCCACCTGGCAGGTCTTCTACCTGCGTCGCTTCTTCAAGGC